GTTGTTCACGGTACTGTGTTGATCAAGATGTCAACCTCGGTCAACAAGGGTGATGAGGTTGCCGCTGATTCTGAGCAAATAGTACGTCCAGTGTATGTGGATAATATTCCACAAAATATTCGGGATGGTGTTGACCACACATGCAACTATATCAAGCAATGTCATGATGCGCTCGGCAAAATGATAGATGTCCTGATCACTCGGTTCGATGGTTTGGCAGACATCATCAACATGCCAGCAACGAATTCTGCACCACCACAGACTGCTCCGACTACTCCATTGCGTTATGCACCACCGGCTCGCGACGGACATGCCAGCGTGCATGATCGCCGTTTGGCGGCACAACCTCATGCTGGAGATGATGGCGTCGACGACGGAGTTGACCATGAGGCGGGGTATGCGTCACGACCGCAACACTATGAGCCCCGTCCTGAAACTTCCGCTCGTGGCGGAGCGCATGACCGCGTGGGTCAAGCTGCGCGTGTTTCTTTGGATTATGGAATTGGGCGCATAAAAGTTTCAATTCCTCCATTCTCCAGCAAGTGCGAACCAGAAGTCTATTTGGAGTGGGAGATGCGTGTTGATCAAATTATTGATGACCATCATTATAGCGAAGAGAAGAAAGTTCAACTTGCTAGAATTGAGTTCACGGGTTACGCGCTAATTTGGTGGAATCAAATTTGCCGGTCACGACATCGTCCAATGACTTGGCGAGGGATGAAAGAATTCATGAGGCGATGTTTTGTTCCTGAGTGCTATAGAAGAGATATGTATAACAAGTTGCAGCGGCTCTCTCAAGGTAATATGAGTGTAGATGAATATTACAAGGAGATGGAATTGCTTATGATATGTACAGAGACAATGGAGGATCCGGAGGCGACTATGGCACGTTTCTTTAATGGTCTAAATATTGAGGTGCATGATTGTGTTGAGATGGTGGTCTACTGCAACATACAAGATCTTGTGCACCAAGTTGTGTGTGCAGAACAGCAGATTATGCAACGTCAAGTCAGCATAGTTCCCAGTACCACTTTGAACACATGGCGACGCTCGTAGTATAAGAGTGAGGATGTTGGTCCTAGCTCCAGGGCGACATCATCAAATCGCTCTGGTGATTCCGTGGAAAAGGATGCTTCAAAATCAGGACTGTCGATGGTTGATTCTAATGTGCAGTCGTCCACACGTACTAATGACATAGAGTGTTTCAAGTGTGGAGGAAGGGGGCATATGAGGCGTGAATGTCCTAATGAGAAAAGAGTGTTACTCACAAGAGATGGCTATGCATCCGCGAGTGATGAAGAGGCAGTTTCTGACACTTCTAGTGAAAATTTTGAAGATGCTGAGAAGGTGACTGCTAGTTTTGAAGCTGCTGAATCATATCCGGCCTTAATGGCGCAACGTGTGCAAGAGGATTGCATTGAGGATAAGGGGCAACGTTGGAATATTTTTCAGACTCAGTGTAAGGTCAACAACACCAATTGTTAGTTGATCATAGGTGGGGGAAGCTACACTAATGCTATCAGCAAGGAAATGGTGCATGCTTTAACGTTACCTATGTGGAAGCACCCACAACCACATTGCATTGAGTGGTTATATCATTCTGGCAAACTCAAAGTTACTCATAAGGTGCGTGTGAATTTTTCAGTTGGTGACTACAAAGACACATTAATTTATGATGTCTTGCCAATGGATGCATGCCACTTGTTATTGGGGAGGCCATGGCAATATGATCATCGTGCCACACATGACGGGAGGTCCAATACTTTTTCTTTTGAGGGCGCTGGAAGGCGATGTATATTGCGGCCAATGTTTGCCAATGCTATCAAAGATGATATTTTTCAGTTCAAAAGAGGGTCTCCAAAGATACCGCGAAACCGTAGACGGCTTCGTTTCAAGGAGGGGATGATGTGGCCGCTAGTGCAAGAGATAATCTTCGGAATGTTTTACAAGTTGGTTCTTTTAGCTTTGAAGTTCCACCAACTGAACCGAAGAAGGATGAAGTTAAGCCCACCTTCAAAACTCCATGTGCTACATAAATTATTGCAGAGCCTGTGTCGGTCAATTGATACGAGAGGGTCAAGTCGTTTGATATAATACTAGTTATGTACTAGTTTTCTTAGGAGTCCAAAGTTAGTTACTATAGGTGATCAGTATGCCGGATAATTTATGGTTTAATTCCTTGATTTGTTGGGATAGGAAAGAGAAAGAGTCCAAATTAGTTATGTCTTGTACGCAAGTCGGTTTGGTATGTACACGTCGCCTATATAAAAGGCCAGCTACAGCCGTGTACGCAGATAGTTGTTTTTTAGATTGAGTTTTGTTATCAAGTGTTAATAGACAGAGAAAAAGGTCCCAGGTATGGGACATCAGGTTGCTGCATTTTCTGCGACCCTTTGTGATGGATCGTATGCTGCTGTGTTGAGTTTGATCTTTGTCAATCTTGCCGCAGATTACTTTCTGTTCTTGTTAATTAATAGCAAGGGCCGATTCTCTTTCTACATTGATCCTTTACGACAACAATACTGTGAAAGATCGGGCCACAACTCGCACGATTCAGCATCTCGCTATTCGGTGCTCCATCAGGCCAACTCCAAGGCACTCATGCAAAAAGATGCGAAATTTGTCCATTTGGATCGGTTGTAGGGATGGCATCCACCCTTGTCCACGCAAATCTAGGTGCCGCGCCAAACTAGCCGACCCATTTGGTTCGCCTCGCCGTTTTATCCCAACAAACATATTTTAATCATCAAACATAGCTAAATTTCATAATGAAGCTAGAATTCATGCCGGCATACAAAACAATTACATGTCGGCCATAGTTTTTACATCTCGTGCAAAACTAAGCTAGAATTCATGCCGGCATACATGCTGACATACAAAATAATTTTGTCACGGTCATAGTTTATGCGTCTTGTCCAAACATAAGATGATTACACATCTAGCTAGAGCATCTATTTTTGCTTCTTCTCGAACCAAACTCTTCTTCTTGGGGAGATCTTGCTCAAGTCGGCCGCCATGATCTTCACTTTCTTCGTGATTAGCATGAGCTTTATCTCATTTTCTCTTGATCGGGCATTGGTCTCATCGATATCGATCTTCTTCTTTTGTATGTCAAAGAAGGTTTTCCTTACCTTCTCTCTCTCTCTCTCTCTCTCTCTCTCTCTCTCTCTCTCTCTCTCTCGGTGCTTCCTCTCCTCCCTCTCTTCCCTCTTCTCAATTGCCACCTCATTTTTGGTCATGAACCCCTTCAAAGTTTCTTACAAGGCGAGTGCCCGAAGCTTCCGCTTGTCATACACCTTGGAATTGGTTTCCCCCTTGGCCGACTCTCACTTTCGCTTGGCTCAATGACCGGTGAGGGCCCCACCTTTATTTTGGGCCACATATTTCTCCTTAAACTTCCCGCACTAACAAATCATCATCCACAATGGGTCAAGGTTAATGGCTTGCCCGAATGATGGACCTTGAATATTTCCAGAGTTTTAAACATCTACATATAGAGTTGGAACCAACAAGATACATTCATATGCACACGAGTATGCATGACATGGCATCAAGCTCATATGAACAAGGGAAGGATTTGCATACCATGTGTTTGATGCCAATGCCACTCATGGATCGCCCGATGATATTCTCATGGGAGGAACTAAACTTGTTGCACTCCACTTGGATGAAGGCCCACCATTTTTGGAGCGACACACCACCATGGTGACATGGTCACTCTCAAATTCGTAGGGCTCAAATTTTCTAATTTCACGGAAGTATGTATGTATGGACCCTCTTTTAAAATGTTGTTCCTTTTTGCTTGACGCCGGTTTTGGGATCTTGTCCTATTACCATCCAAGCTTCACAAAGTAACTTGTCCTCATACTTTGCAGATCCTATCGTCCTCACGCTTTTGCCGCCTCTTTTGTGCATTGGCTTGATGAGATAGCTCCTCGTGAAACAATGGCTCATCCTTGATGTCAACATTTTCTTAGCCTTGGTTGCCTTGGTCTTAAGTTTCTTGGCCTTGGGTGTCTTCGCCTTGGTGGTCATGAGTGTCTTGGTCGTGGGTGTCTTGGTTGCGACATTCTTAGCTTTGAGTCTCGTCGGCATCATACTCGTGGCCACCCTCATAGACCATCTCCTCCATGAAATCGTTGTAGTACATGGGGTCATCCTGCGTCAGGGTCGGCATACCATCAAATAGGATGCGGGTACCGAGAAAGCTAGCCGTGGGGATCGCCCATGGACGCTTCCTTTGCGTCTCAGTGGACTGGCCGGCCACAGGTGTGGGCATTGAGATCAAGCGGAGGAACCACAGAGACGACCGACAAGAAATCATCAATTTCCGCACGAGCCGTCCCAAGGCAATATGGAGAAGCGGGGCGCAATCGGGTTGTGTCCAGGAAGGTTCCCGTACGTCGGTGGCATTGTTGACATGCGCTATGACTCCGGAAGCATGGGCGGGTGGGCTGCTGATGAGCCTGTGCTGGCCGCGACGGCAACAGCGAGAAGGGTCGACTCTTGGTACCCTACCGACCTTGGCGGCAAGGGCTTCATTCTCCCCAACGGTGGCATGGGCCTAAGCGGCTGAGGCAGCGGTGGCTTCTTCTTTCTCCGAACAACCCTCTTCGCCATTTCCTCCGGAGTGCGCATCATCTTTGACTTCTTCGGACGCATGGCGCCGGCGACCACGACTAGGACGGTGGTGGTCGGGTATGGTCGACGGCGGGGTTGGGCACGTTGGCCGTGGCGGGAGGGCGGGAGGGTCAGTGAGTGAATTAGCGGGAATGGACGGACAGGCTAGAAGAGGACAACATTAGAGTATTGTAGGCGTGACCTCGCCGATGTAAATTTGGGTTGAAAATGGTCTTGGCGAAAAAAAAGAAGAGAAAGAATTGCAGACATCCGTTTGTTTGCTTCGTGGACACGAACGGACCAAATGGGTCGTTGGAGTTGACCGCACTGGCCGTTCCCAATTCCGGGTCCGCCGTCGCCAGTCGCCACCGCCGCCGACCATGGCCTCCCCGCCCTCCCCACCGCCGCCGCCCGCTCCCACCACCATATTCGATCTCGGCGACGACCTCCTCCGCGAGATCTTCCTCCGCCTCCCCGCCCTCCCGACCCTCGTCCGCGCCGCCTGCGCCTGCCGCGCCTTCCGCCGCGCCGCCCGCACGTTCACCTCCTTCCGCCGCAGCTTCCGCGAGCGCCACGCGCCGCCCGTGCTCGCGCTCTTCCTCGAGCCCAACATGGAGGTCGTCCCGCTCCACCCCTGCCCCTGGCGCCGCCGCGACCCGGACCTCGTCGCCGCCGATTTCTTTGACGTCCGCCACGGCGACGCCCTCTCCTCCGGGTGGAAGATCAATTCCGAGACTCCTAGCTCCGGCGGCTACCTCATCCTCGACAACTGGAGCGAGGGCGCTCAGCGGGTAGCCGCCTACAGCCCGCTGACGCAGGTCCTAGATCTGTTCCTCGATCTGCCGCCGGTGGGAAAGATCTACCTTGAATTCTACACGCTCCTCCCCGAAGACGGCCGGAGGCCGTCCCGCGTGGTCTGTGTGCGTGTAGACGGCCAACGGGCGGAGCGCGCCGCCGTCTTCTCATCGGACACCATGGAGTGGCAAATTTTCCCAGAGACTACGCTGCAGCTGACTGTATCTGACAGGCTCAGGGCCAGCGGAGTGGTGCATGGGCTCGTTTACTGGAGAGGCTGGATGCATGACCAAATTGTTGTGCTCGAAACCATGACCTTTCAGTTCTTCCTGATTGATCTGCCGGCGCCTTTGAAACCGGAGTTGGGTGAATCAACATATAAGCTTGGTGAGACCAAGGATGGGAAGCTCTGCATCGTAGATATAAAGGATAACACCATTGTTTCTTGGTTCCTGGACAATGGCAGTGTCCTCAACAGCTGGATTACGTACAAGAATTTCCCATTGCGCCCAATTGTTAGGGAGCTCACTGGGTGCTCAATGGAGGAAGAGGATTATTGTAATGTCAATGTGGACCTTGTGGCAGTTATCGATGGCTTTGTCTACCTCTGTATTTTCTACCTCAAGGACACAGAATATCGTGAGCTGTACCTGTCAATATGCCTGGAAACATCAGATATGTGCAAGCTCTATAATGGTGCATATCGGCATAATGAGGCGGCCCATCCCTATGTCATGGCATGGCCTCCCTCTTTGGTACAAAGCAAGGTGAGCCTGTGCTTATATGTAAGAGTTTCTTCCAGTGCCTTGTTCATAGATAATATGCTGTTATGTAACTTAAAGGCATTGGATTATTGTGTTGTGAAAGGCCACTGCCTGATTCTTATCTCAATTTTAAACAGTAGCATGTCTGATTTGCCTAGACCATATTATAAGAATTTGATTGCAGGTTTTATATTAGTGCACAGAAGGAATACTTTAAATTTTAGCATGCGTAGCAGATTATGTGATATCTGAACCTCTTGACAGGCCGCTCAAATGAGGATGCAATACTCTAAATTTTAACATTAACATTGGTTTATCGTGTTCTGAACGGCTGGTATCGACTCTTATCTTAAGTTTAAACATGTTTGATTTGTATGAATCATGTTACAAAAATTCGTTTGCAGATTGTTTGTTAGTAGTACGATCATATTATACAGTGCTGCACAGAGAACTGAGATTGCAGATGGAACTGAGATGGCATTGTGGAACAGTATCATGTTTCATCTTCACTACCTTTGTAGTAAGAGCTAATGTAAATTGATGTTGTATCATCATAATCGCCTTGCACAATTTTGTATATATACATACACTTCAATTTCTTGCTTACACTGAAATCCCTCTTTGTAGCAGGAGGAATCAGAAACTGAAGATGATGATCCCAAGGACACAGAAGAAACTTCCTCTGTCCTCATCGCTGCACTGCAGTCTTTCAGCCAAGCTTTGATGAATGCTGATAAAGAAAAAGAAATCGTTGCAGAGTTAGATGCCTTCTTGCGTCCCGCCAAAGATGGCAAGGGCTCTCTTATCAGCAGAATCGCCACTTTGGATGTGCAGATGACGACCGCGAGAAACCGTATCCTGAGGATAAGTGAATGACTCCGAGGTTTACATGCCAAGTATAGAAAGAGAAACCTGATGATGACAAGTGTGCTGTGGGGAGCTTGCTGCCACTTATTTGCCAGCCGGAGTAGCCTGTTTCAAGTCGTGTACATGCGTATGTATGCTGTGTTTTGATGATACGGGCATTTGGTTAAACTGTTTGGTACTTCAGTTGTGTGTATGTGTGTTATGAGCGTATGTATATGCTAGTTTCATGTACTCTGTCAGTATGACTAGTTAGCAATGGTTGATACTTCATTGCCTGTATCATCTTTGAAGAGGTTAAATTGTATGCATGCTATTTTTTATGTAGTACAGTAGGCCTGATGATGAATGTAGCCATCACTCCACCAGCATGAATAGTTGGTCAATTAGATGCCTCCAGTTTAAGAAAGCATATTGGTTTGGATGCACAATCGACGACTGCAAGGGACCGTATCTGAGATCCTCTTTGCTAAGTACAGAAAGAGAAACCTGTTGATGATGATAAGTGCACAAGGGGGAGTTGTCAAGAGCTTGTTGCCACTTCTTTGCCTGTTGTGTGTTTTTGTTTCTGTTCACTCTGATGGTACTTATGTTTTTTGGATGGTAATACTGGGTCTGGTGATTACTGTAACTATCACTCCACCAGTATGACAACTTTGCAAGAGATGAAGCTTTACTTTAATTTTTATCTTCCTAGATGTTTCTGTGTATCAACCATGGCCGAGTCTTGATCAAGCAAGGGTTGAGTCTGAACTCCACTCTGTCAATCCTACATAATTTAATTATGATGTCAGCATAGCAATTTTTACGTGGTGTGTATATCAATGGGAGTTGTTCTCTGGCCGTGTTCAGAATCCATCCCATCTGCTCCGATTCCGCGGAGTTGTGGAGCTCAGTTTAGGCCGCTCCGTAAAAATGAGCTAGAGGCTCGTCCGCTCAGGAGCGGAGAGGAGCCGAACGCCGGCCTTTGTCTTCGAAATAGAGTACATGAGACCCTATTTTAAAGCATCACTTGCAATAGAATGCTATATTTGGACAGTTACTTCAAATAACACGAGGATTTGGAGCAAAGAGAGCATCATGAATCAAATAAAACTTCTAAAAAACTCACGAAAATTATGCCAAAGTGTGCTCTAATCCCATTTGTTCGCCCTATAAGCAAAAAAATTCATCTTGAACAATATCTTTTTGATAAAGGGTGCTTTTGTGAATTCAATGAAGGAAATATGCCCTAGAGGCAATAATAAAGTTATCATTGATTTCCTTATATCATGATAAATGTTTATTATTCATGCTAGAATTGTATTAACCGGAAACATAATACATGTGTGAATACATAGACAAACAATATGTCACTAGTATGCCTCTACTTGACTAGCTCGTTGAATCAAAGATGGTTAAGTTCCCTAGCCATAGACATGAGTTGTCATTTGATTAACGGGATCACATCATTAGAGAATGATGTGATTGACCTGACCCATTACGTTAGCATAGCACTTGATCCTTTAGTTTGTTGCTATTGCTTTCTTCATGACTTATACATGTTCCTATGACTATGAGATTATGCAACCCCCGTTTACCGGAGGAACACTTTGTGTGCCACCAAACGTCACAACATAACTGGGTGATTATAAAGGTGCTCTACATGTGTCTCCGAAGATACTTGTTGGGTTGGCATATTTCGAGATTAGGATTTGTCACTCCGATTGTCGGAGAGGTATCTCTGGGCCACTTGGTTATACACACCACTTAAGCCTTGCAAGCATTGCAACTAATAAGTTAGTTGCGGGATGATGTGTTACGGAACGAGTAAAGAGACTTGCCGGTAACGAGATTGAACTAGATATTGAGATACCGACGATCAAATCTCGGGCAAGTAACATACCGATGACAAAGGGAACAACGCATGTAGTTATGCAGTCTGACCGATAAAGATCTTCGTAGAATATGTGGGAGCCAATATGAGCATCCAGGTTCCGCTTTTGGTTATTGACCGAAGATGTGTCTCAGTCATGTCTACATAGTTCTTGAACCCGTAGGGTCCGCACACTTAAAGTTCGATGACGGTTATATTATGAGTTTATGTGTTTTGATGTACCGAAGGCTTTCGGAGTCCCGGATGAGATCGGGGACATGACGAGGAGTCTCGAAATGGTCGAGACGTAAAGATCGATATATTGGACGACTATATTCGGACATCGGAAAGGTTCCGAGTGATTCGGATATTTTCGGGAGTACCGGGGAGTTACGGGAATTCGTATTGGGCCTAGAAAGGCCTCAAAGGGTGGCCGCACCCCTCCCCATGGGCTGGTCCGAATTGGACTAGGGAGGGGGGCACCCCCTTCCTTCCTTCTCCTTTTCCCTTCCCTTTCCTTCCCTCCTACTCCTACTAATTGGAAGGGCTCCTAGTTCTACTAGGAAAGGGTGAATCCTACTACCGGTGGGAGTAGGACTCCCCTAGGGCGCGCCATAGACAGGGCCGGCCCTCCCCCTCCTCCACTTCTTTATATACGGTGGCAAGGGGCACCCCAAAGACACAACAATTGATCTCTTGATCTCTTAGCCGTGTGCGGTACCCCCCTCCACCATAATCCACCTCGGTCATATCGTAGCGGTGCTTAGGCGAAGCCCTACGTTGGTAGAACATCATCATCGTCACCATGCCATCGTGCTGACGAAACTCTCCCTCAACACTTGGCTGGATCGGAGTTCGAGGGACATCATCGAGTTGAACGTGTGCAGAACTCGGAGGTGCCATGCGTTCGGTACTTGATCGGTCGGATCGTGAAGACGTACGACTACATCAACCGCGTTGTGCTAACGCTTCCGCTTTCGGTCTACGAGGGTACGTGGACAACACTCTCCCCTCTCGTTACTATACATCACCATGATCTTGCGTGTGCGTAGGAATTTTTTGAAATTACTATGTTCCCCAACAGTGGTATCCGGGCTAGGTTTTATGCGTTGATGTAATATGCACGAGTAGAACACAAGTTAGTTGTGGGCGATATAAGTCATACTGCTTACCAGCATGTCAAACTTTGGTTCGGCGGTATTGTTGGATGAAGCGGCCCGGACCGACATTATGCGTACGCTTACGCGAGACTAGTTCTATGACGTGCTTTGCACACAGGTGGCTGGCGGGTGTCAGTTTCTCCAACTTTAGTTGAACCGAGTGTGGCTACGCCCGGTCCTTGCGAAGGTTAAAATAGCACCAACTTGACAAACTATCGTTGTGGTTTGATGCGTAGGTAAGAACGGTTCTTGCTCAGCCCGTAGCAGCCACGTAAAACTTGCAACAACAAAGTAGAGGACGTTTAACTTGTTTTTGCAGGGCATGTTGTGATGTGATATGGTCAAGACGTGATGAGATATAAGTTGTTGTATGAGATGATCATGTTTTGTTGAAGTTATCAGCAATAGGCAAAAACCTTATGGTTATCTCTCTATTGCATAAGATGCAAGCGCCAAATAATTGCTTTACTTTATCGCTATGCGATAGCAATAGTTGCAAGAGCAATTGTTGGCGAGACAACCATGTGACGACACATTGATATAAATCAAGATGATGGAGATCATGGTGTCATGTCAGTGACGATGGAGATCATGACGATGCTTTGGAGATGGAGATCAAAGGCACAAGATGATGATGGCCATATCATGTCACATATTATGATTGCATGTGACGTTTATCTTTTATACATCTTATTTTGCTTAGTTCGGAGGTAGCTTTATAAGATAATCTCTCACTAAATTATCAAGGTATAAGTGTTCTCCCTGAGTATGCACCATTGCGAAAGTTCTTCGTGCTGAGACACCACGTGATGATCGGGTGTGATAGGCTATACATTCAAATACAATGGGTGCAAAACAGTTGCACACGCGGAATACTCAGGTTAAACTTGACGAGCCTATATCATATAACAGACATGGCCTCGGAACACGGAGAGCAAAAGGTCGAGCGTGAATCATATAGTAGATATGATCAACACAGTGATGTTCACCATTGAAACTACTCCATCTCACGTGATGATCGGACATGGTTTAGTTGAAATGGATCACGTGATCACTTAGAAGATTGGAGGGATGTCTGTCTAAGTGGGAGTTCTTAAGTAATATGATTAATTGAACTTTAATTTATCATGAACTTAGTCCTGATAGTATTAGCATATCTATGTTGTAGATCAATAGCTCACAATGTTGCTCCCAGTTTATTGTGTTCCTAGAGAAAAATTATGTTGAAAAATGTTAGTAGCAATGATGCGGATTGGATCCGTGATCTGAGGATTATCCTCATTGCTGCACAAGAATTATGTCTTTGATGCACCGCTAGGTGACAGACCTATTGCAGGAGTAGATGCGGACATTATGAATGTTTGGCTAGCTCAATATGATGACTACTTGATAGTTTAGTGCACCATGCTTAACGGCTTAGAATCGGGACTTCAAAGACGTTTTGAATGTCATGGACCATATGAGATGTTTCAGGAGTTGAAGTTAATATTTCAAGCAAATACCCGAGTTGAGAGATATGAAGTCTCCAAAAAGTTCTATAGCTAAAAAGATGGAGGAGAATAGCTCAAGCAGTGAGCATGTGCTAAGATTGTCTGGGTACTACAATCGCTTGAATCAAGTGGGAATTAATCTTCCAGATAAGATAGTGATTGATAGAATTCTCTAGTCACCATCACCAAGTTAGTAGAACTTCATGATGAACTATGATATGCAAGGGATAACGGAAACGATTCCCAAGCTCTTCGTAATGATGAAATCAACAAAGGTAGAAATCAAGAAAATATCAAGTGTTGATGATAGACAAGACCACTAGTTTCAAGAAAAGGGCAAAGGGAAGAAGGGGAACTTCAAGAAGAACGGCAAGCAAGTTGCTACTCAAGTGAAGAAGCCCAAGTCTGGTCCTAAGCCTGAGACTAAGTGCTTCTACTGCAAAGGGACTAGTCACTGGAAGCGGAACTGCCCTAAGTATTTGGCGGATAAGAAGGATGGCAAAGTGA